AATGGTGGGGAAGCGTGAATGTCAAATTAGAATAAATACCTAAGACAGTTAATTATTCCAAGGTAAAACAGCAAAATATATGTCTAGTTCCATTTTCCCATTGTGAAGGATCACTTTACCATATGATCCTTGAAAATTAAACTAAGACTCTGAATTAATCATCTTTTCACTATCATGAGTATTCTGTTCAACATTATTCGCCTCTGAGATTCCGTTTAGAAATGAAGTCTAGGATAAAGTACTTCTGCTGGTCTCGCAAACAGTTTTCTACAGAAACATCCCCTTTTCCCTGGAAATCGTGTCAACCTTCTTAACCTCATCATTTTTAAGGTATTTTGTTTTGTATTGTTTTGTTTACCCTTAAAAGCTATTAAATTTTTATGTGGCCCAGATTATCAGTGGGTAGGTCAAAGTAATGTTTTTCAACAAATAGAATGATTTAGAAGTATTTTGCTTCCACTGGAAGGCTGTTAATATACAGAGAAAATTGCATGGCAACAAAATGAGATACTCTCAGCAGTACATAGTTTATCTAGGGTTGCCCATATAAAACAGGCCTCATTTAGCATTAAATCTCATTTTATGTGATCCGGATTTATTTTTAAATGGACTACTCAGGATTCATACTCTAAGACTTTTTTAAATGATTATCATGAGGCTATCATTTCCACCCAAAGCCGTATACCATAACATCACACTAAATTTGCTTAAATTTAGGCCATGTTAGCCTTGTATGTACTTGTATAGACAATATAAAGCTAATATATATTTATTAGATAAAAACAACAAATACCACATTTGAAAGTACTTGAGGAAGTTAAAAAACAATACGCAGGACCTGAGAGATAGTACAGCAGGTAAGACTCTTGCTTTGCACAGGCTGACCTGGGTTTTATTCCCAGCATTCTGTATGTCCTTAAACCCAGTCAATAGTGAAGAAATGAAAAATAGTGCTTCAAATGCAACCAGAGGTATCGTTAGGATTGTGAAGCTAAAAAAATAAAGAATTATATTGTTCTTCATTAAAGGCCCTTTTTCTCCACAGAAAAGAATATGTGTGTGCAACTATATAAAAAGAAAAATTACTAAAGATGATGTGAGCAGTATTCCTATAGCAGGTGTAGAATAATTCTTTCAAAGAACTCAAGGTCTACGAGCACATGATGTCATATTTAGGAGACATGTATTGCAAAAACTATTCCTTTTAAAAATCATTTTAATATGTATCAATTTTTTTGGTGTCTTGATCAAGATTACTATCCAAGAGACCAGGAGTTAATATACTGGCTTTGCATGCTACGAACCTGGGTTCAATCCCTGGCACTGCATATGGTCCCTTGAGCACCACCAGGAATGATCTCCGAGTACATAGCTAGCACAAGCCCTAAGCACCACCGTTTAGCTGAGTAAAACAAAAAGATCTGTAAGAGAATAAATCTGAATTTTTAAGCCAACAATTGTGGTAACTTGTTATAACAGCAATAGAGGGATAATATGAGCCTGCATTCTCTCTCTCAATTGATAATACTATGGACTGATAGTACAGTGGGTAGGGCATTTGTCTTGCACACAGCCAACCTGGGTTCAATCCTTGGTATCCTATATTGTCTTTCAAGTACTGCCAGAGTAATTCCAGAGTTCAAAGCCAGGAACAACTCCTGAGCATCGCTGGGTGTGATCCAAAAGGCTAAATAAATAAATAAATAAATGTTTTTAAAAAAATAGGAGAAGCACTATCTATCACTGACTTGAAAACATTTATTATGAACCCCCCAACCTTCCTATAAACTCTTACAAAATATTTACCTTCTAAATAAACTATACAGTTTTCTTTAAAAATATAGAAGTACTTTTCAAAGTTAGATATTTATAAACATATGCAATTATGGTCCTGCTAGAAGTTTGAAGAGAAGGAGCAAAGTAGTATCTTTGTATTTTATTCACGAGTAAAGAATTTGAGAATGCCATTTTTACTACCGTAATTCAACAGATTTTATAATTTTGAACTCAATTTATCATTTCAAATTGATATTGATTGATCTGAGTGAGCAAATACACACTTCGAGCGATATAGGTGGTGACAGGATTTCAGAGCTACTGAACAGTCATGAATGTCATCATAGTTTGCTGTTTATTTCTAGTGTTGAGCCTTGTTATTTTAATTGTATAAGTATTCTTTAAAATGAGAGAAAACACACTGATATTCCAGGTCATAATGCAGACTTGACATAATTTGAAAAGTATTTAAAATTCTTTCAAACTTTCTGTCATATTCAGCTCTAGCTCCCTATGAAAACCCCAAGATGTTAATTACAGAAGTCCTGGAACTTTCTCCCATTTTTGAAACATTAAGAATTTGTTGAAGAGTTTTTACACTTGAACATATTGTTTAAAATACAATTTTTCTTCTCATGTGACAGCTTCACACAAAGTATTTAAAGAAGATGAAGGTCTGTCATTGCTCTGTTTAATTAACAGAGACATTTAGAATTAGAGATTGTTAAAAAAAGAATTCAAAAGAAAACTTTAGAGTTATGATAATATTCTCATTTCACATCAGAATTTCAACTAGCAAAAATTCTATTTACAGGTATAATCTACTAGAACTAGTCAATCTTATTTTATATTGAGTTTTCCTTTTCCAGTTATTTACACAAATTAGACAGTGAGATACAAAAGATTCCTCCAGTTTTAGGTTTGCTTCTTATTTCACAATGATGCAGCAATTTCATATATGTATATATACATATATATAATTTTTTATTTTGGTCACAAGATGCTCAAAGGTTATTCCTGGCTCCGCACTCAGGAATCACTCCTGGCAGTGCTCAGGGGACCTTATGGGATGGCAGGGCTTGACCTAGGGTTGGCCGAGAGAAAGGCAATCCCTTTACCTGCCATACCATCGTGCAAGCCTCCCTCTTTTGTAATATATATATGACGACTCTGGAAGCTCTCAGTTCCTTTGTTTAAATATCTTTTTACCTTTTAGTTCCTAAAGGCAATGCATATCTTGCTAGTCTTCTTTCTAGATGATTAACTCTTAATGTTTCTACTTAAACTGAATCTTAAATGTACACTATGATAATTTTTATAATACACCTCAGTTATCTAGTAATACTGTTTTGAAAATATAACCCATCGAACATGTAAATAATGTTACAGCAATTAGGGTGCTTATAAATTCTTATTTTTACAGTTTAACAAAAGGATAATCACGAATTTGTTCAAGACACTGTCCCTGTCCTCCTGCTGTTCATCAATTTTGCTCGATCGGGCCCAGTAACGTCTCCATTGTGACACTAGTTATTGAGTTTGGCATTTCGAATAGGTCATGATTAGCTTGCCATGCTTTGCCGTGCAGGCGTGATACTCTTAGTAGCTGGCCGGGCTCTCCGAGAGGGGCGTAGGAATCGAAACTGGGTTGGCCAGGTGGGCTGCGTGCAAGGCAAATGCCCTATCCACTGTGCTATCACTCCTAGTAATTCTAATATACCACAGATCCTAAGCTAATTAAAATGATTCAGTAAAATGTGGTCCACTGAATACTTGCTATGAGAAACAAAGGCAGAGTTGTTGTTAAGATATTTTTTTCTGAATGTGACTAAGAGTTTATACTCTGTGGAGTATATACAGTATACCACTAAAACTGGTGGCATAAATTCCCTCATAATTTCTGGACATCCTATATATACTTTTGAGACACATGCAAAACTGTAAAACTTAAGTGAAACACATGGGTATATTTCTAATATTTCATTCATCTTTTGAGACATTTTATCAAATAGAAACTTTATTATCAGCAACTTATTTGATATATTTTAGTTATAAGAAATTGATCCAGAAATTGTTATGACTATCAAATATGTACACTGTTTTGATGTTTTCAGGTAACTAAGTGACAGCAAATAGACTGAACACTACCATGTTCTAAAATTGTCATTATAAATATGAGACTCATAACTACAAAAATCTCCAAGATGGCAACATTCAAAGAATGAAGGAACACAGAAATGTTCCTTCTTTCTCACAGAACTAGAAGGAGCCTTAGATGTCTCCAGCTCATTGTTGTTATCTGGATGGTTATCTGTGTCATTTTAGCCATCCAGTGGTCAGGGTCTCCCAATTCCTCAGTCAAGAAAATCTGTAACACACAACACTATCTCTCTCTCTCTCAATCTCTCTCTCTCTCTGTCTCTCCTTCTCTCTCTCTCCATTGTGTCTGTCTCCCCCACCACCTCCCTCTTTTTCTCCCACCTCTCTCCAGCCCCCAACTCTCCCTCTCCCTCTCTCTCTCTCTCTCTCTCTCTCTCTCTCTCTCTCACACAGAGTGATTTCCTACCTACAAAGCACATTTTAATATAAATTTGAATGTTAAAATGTATACTTTCTTATCAGCACTTTCTTTTGGTGGAAAGACTTCAAAGATAGAATACACTTTTCAAAAATAGCACAGGGTTGCTACATTTGGAGTTTAAAAAATATTTTAACTTTATCTTTTAACCAACTGAATAAGATCCTCTTAAGAACCAAAAAAAAGGAAACTAAATGTTTTCAGTAATATGCCATAGAAATCCATTGTGCAAAAAAATTCATCCATTTTCAAAAGGAGATTAAATAAAAGGCTGCACTCACTTCTACTTGGGAAAAGAGAACATTCTGTTTCACCTGCCAATTTCTTTCCTGAAATATCCGATGTTCCAGAGTTCTTCTATGACTTTTATATTACATCTTTCTTTTCATAATAAGGAATGCATGTATTTCTCTACTATGTACAGACATCCACCCATGTTTTCCAGCAACAATGAAAGACTAATAAACTTCCAAGGTAATGCGAAGCTGAACAAAATCTAGCACAAGGCTTTGGAATGAAGGAAGAAGCTATAATACTTGACAATACTTCTAAAAGTGATCAAATTATTTTCCAATCTTTAAATAAAACAAATCATGCACATAAACTGACCAATCAAAACACACTCTATACACTTTGTTGATAAGAATATGTATTATGTTTTAATTTCATTAATAAACTAGTAAGTTGCCTCTGAGCAGTAAACAATGGTTAGTAGTATTTAGATAATAAATTAAGATCATGAGACACCCAGATTTTATATACAGTAAAGATTTATTAGGAAACGAATATTTAATAACTTATTATTTTAAATGATGAGAATAAAATCCAAGGGGGGGAAATCACTATCTCTAACAATTTGAAATATAGGAGGCTTAAATCTTATACTTTTTTGTCAATAGTAATTCTCCCCAGATGACAGATGCTGTTCCCTTCCTAATGGAGGGCCTCAAATTTTACTCTGCATCTCATTGGGAAGGAAATATAAATTTTTTAAAATAGAATTAACTTGGGGAAAGGCATCAGTGCTGCAACTCTTAGCACCAAATGTTTTTTCTTGGAGCACCAAATGCTTTAAGGAAAACATTCCAAGTATCAAAGTTTTCAGATAGATAAATATTTATGGATCAAATCCATAAAGAACAGACATTGTTATGAAATATATATAGATGCCTTCAAAACTTTCTTTCTAAGCAGAGTAGACACATAAGTTAGGAGTCATTTCCCACTTAATTGTTTTTGCAACCTTATGCAACACAAATGGATCGTGGATAAAGACTTACTCATTTACACAGAGAAAGTAGATCTTGACTAACATGTCCTGAAGATTAAATAATGACTAGATCTCTATGTAACACAGAACTTAAAGAAATTACATTCTTCTAGCCTTTCTTGTTCTTGTTTGAAAAGCTGACATTTTTAGTTAGTCTTTGACTAAGGGAGCCACACACACATTAGAGAAAATTCTTATTTACTGGTTAGCAATATCAGAGAAAATCATAAAATTGATCTGGTTCCTATCTTTAATGCATCCAAATTCTAAACTGTTTATGAATGATATTTTTAGTCTATGAATAGACCATTGCCTATCCCATTAAATGAGCGGTCTCAAGTGATAGTACAAGTAGAAATAATTTGCATTATGATCTACCAAAAGCTCTTCTGTGATTTGAGTTGCGAACTATATATATTACCAGTGTGGCAAAATACAAGTGCTAAACAAAAGTGCTATGATAGTGGAAAAACTCAAAGTAGCTACCAAAGAAACAGCCTCAACTACTGTAGTATCTTTGAGGCTATTAAATACCATTATGGGTGTGCAGTGAGCAGAATGATGTGAGTCTTTAAAAAATTAGCAACAGGAACAGTACAGAAGCAAATAGCTATAAGAACTCATAGAGAGCCTATCAAGCTTCTAAATCACACTTGAATATATATATGGATAATTAATGCCAGTGGTATCATTTGTGAAACATAGGGACATTTTGAAAGTGAGTATACTTATGTCCCACAAATTAATTCAGGAAAATTTATATAACCAACCAAACAAGGCTTGGGTTTAAAAAATAGTATCAGAGGCACAGGTAAACTTTTATTCATGAATACGTAGACACATGACTTTGGATCCAGCCAGCCAGTGACATAAATAAACTTGAGCAAGTATTCAAGCTACAGGATATATGTATACATATGTATAAATGTCTATCTATCTATCTACTTAGATAGATAGATTTGTGTGTAAGACTTCTTGGAGAGGTGACACAAATCTGGACACCAACCCACAGCAACACTCCAGAACCTTTGAAAATTTCCATTGTGCGTACAATGCGGGTAATTATACTGGGATGCTCCAAATCTCTCGCTCCTTCTTCTGTTTTCACATGCCGGCCAAACAAAAATGTTCGCCTCCTCCCTTCCAATGTGATGGTTGTTGAACTTATTTTTAGTGTCATTTGATAAGCCTTTGTGCTCGCAGAGAGACATCCCACTGACCCAGCCACTGGTCATTGTCTATACCAGTTCACATCAAAGCAGGCACGCTTTGTCAGGTCTCCAGTCGAATATCCATTTCGCATCTGAAGTACAGTATCGAAAGTGACTAGATCATTTGAGCCTTTTTCTTCAGCTGCTGCCTTGTTCCTCCCCCACAGTGTTTCGGCTCATACTAACATAATTTGGCATCGTCGACGTGACACGAGGGTGGTTTTGCTCAAAAGTGATAATACATACATTTTTCGGTGGTTTGTGGTGGCCAGCCCTCTTGAAAATTCAATTTATAAACTGATGAGAGGACGTCTTTTTTCTCTACTGAATCATAACCAAGGTAGCGCACCCCTCAACAGCCAAGTAATGTGCATACAGTAATAGGTCATTCAATGTCAAAAGGCATAAAAAAGATGAGCAAAATCTTCACAGGCTGCTGCTTGCTGTTGCCTTTAATTATATTAATTAAACTTTGAAATTTTCATGCAAAGAGAGTTGCTGGCTTGTGACGCTAAGAGCCCTTGGAGACTTGGAAGAAGGGAAGAAAAAAAAAAACAACCCTGAGCGGAAGCTTTGTGATGTGGCTTCCTTTAAATTAAAAGCAAAACAAACTTGTAAGTATGTTTATAGATATTAATGCTTTAGGTACTACTAAACCCTAAGCCTAGAAAGAAGAGCAAATCTCTCAATCACAGGTAGAATTTCTCTAATCCTTTCGACTGCACTGAAGAGCTCAGGTTAGAGGCGATCTTCCTTGGAATAACGCTCTATTAATTTTCTTCTTTTCCCGAGAGCATAATGAAAGAAAGGTGTCTTCCAAAACTAAAGGGCAAAATCGTACTTGCTACCAATACCTTGAGGCACTTTGTCATGCGTATGCACTTTTCAGCATTGGAATGACAAGATTTTCCCATCAGAAGTTTCCCGTAAGGCACATTGTGAAGGGTTTTGTGATCTGACACAGTTGTAAGGCTTAAATATTTGCTCAGACTAATAGGGAGTCTCATACTCTGTAGGGTAGTAATCTTGCTGTGCAAAAACACAAGTGCCATGTTTCCATGTAAAACATTCTTCTAGAAAGATCCATCACGATTTGATTACCATAAAAGATCCATCACCGTTTTGTGGGTCCTGTTCTGATTGTCTTCGTGTTGTTATTTTTACTCTTTTCTCTTCTACACTTTCAAATGAACTTTCTTGTGTAAACCATCACACATAGATTAATGTTTCTCTTACTTTCTCTTACTTTCTTTCTTTCGAATGCTCCCAATGATGAATTACTTCAGGTTTCATCAACAAGCAAGTGTTGGAAAGGATTTGGTACAAGCAAAAGAAAGCAAAATGTTTTCTGACTGGAAGGAATAAAGCTACTCTTCCCAAAATTTCTGAAGTGCACTTTCTGTTCATTTAGTTGGAAGTTAGCTGTGTTGGAAGATGTGTCATCTTCAGACTTCTGTAGTCTTCCTGCTTTCCTTTCACTGAGATGAAACTCGAGAGAAGTTTATGCACCGGCCCTAGAAAAGAAGCAAAAAAAACAATTCATTAAAATATTAAAGCAAGTATTAAAAGCATGAGAACACCTATTTTTCTACCATGATAAAATAAATAAGCCCTGTTCTTTTTCAGGAGAGCAACACCCAGCTGTGCTCAGGACTTAATCCTGGCTCTGCATTCAGGAATCATTCCTGGTGGAATTTACAGGACCCAATATGTTATCAGACCCTCATGCAAGGCAAGCGCCTTACCTCTGTACTGTCTCTTCACTTAAAGAAAATATGTTCTCCTCCAGATTAAAATGCCAAGGAAATATTTAAAATGTTATATTCACCATATATATACTCTTTTGAAACAGTTCCCCTTCAAGGGAAAAGATATAAAAATTAAACAAATAAAAACATTTAAGCAAAGCAAAAAGAAGTGTTATGTAACCACAATACCATAACAATATATGGCATGAGAAAAAGATTTTAACTACATATCTTAAAATTGAAAAATCCTATTAAAAATTTCCCAGATTCAATTATATAATATCAATATTATGACATGAAATATTAATATCAAATTTTCTTCATGTAGTTATATATTTAAAAAAACAATTTCTAACTTCCAGGAGTCATGGGTCTCCTCGTTCCCCACCCCACACATCCTGGAAAAATAACAAAGAGAGAGAAAAACAAAACATTGCATCTCCCTATAGTCAAGCTACATTAATTCGATTACAATTCTTTGCTTGAATATCTAAAAAAATATGTAACAGAAGTTAAATAGGATTCTAAAGTCTGAGTAGGAATCCCATTCTGTCAGTTATTAACCAAGGGGAGAGTAGATTTATGTGCACTGTCCTTCGTTGCTGTAATTGTAAAATAAGAATAAAAAATAAAAGATATTCAAAACATAATCTCTCAATATTCATAAAATGCTTAGGACAGCACCTGGAATATAGTAACCTCACAGGAAAAAAAAGCTATATATTATCCATCTTTCCTACACAATGCCATTATAGTATCTAACTGAGCAAACCTATAATAAATATTCACTTAGAAATAAATGAGTAGATGATGAAAACATAACTTTGACTTATTACATTATTATCTCTGGGGTAAAACAGTTTAAAACTCAACTATGACTGAATTCCATATATTTGCTTTGGGAAAATACAATTCTTATGATGCAATGGCATCACTGTAAAATTTATTCATTTTGCATAACATATGGATTTGGGGTAACATTTCTTAAACATTAAAAAAAAACTAAGTTTAGGTAAGGCAAATAGAATTTAATAGACACTGCTTTTAAAGTGTGTGAATTTTGAAATGATACTTCAGATATTGACTATTATATGTTAGTCATACAATTTGAGTGTGAACAGGATCACTTTGAAGCTTTTGAGTTAGTGATTTACAAGGCATGATATCAAATTCAAATTGGTTGCAATAATTTATTGATTGTATAAATGACTAGGTGTTATCTAAAGCACCACAACACTATTGCTAATATAAGTATAAATTAGCAAAATCTGCATAATAAACAACATATGTAATGATAGACTTTAAATGCTGATAATCCTTGAATCACTCATTTCATCTTGGCAATTCAGCCCAATAAAAGTCTCTAGACAAAGATTTTTATGTATTTGCTATAAGATTGTGATAGCTGGAAAAGTACTTTTTTATTTATGTGCAACATTTAAAGAATAGTTAAAATAAGGCTCACCGGTCTACGAAGTAAGTAGCCATTAAATAAAACAAAAATTTTAAAAATATACACATATGAGAACTGTCAAATTACATTCATACATAATTGCAATTGTACAATATATTTATAAAGTGAAAAACAAGATGAAACAGACAATAAACCAATTGTTTACTAGTTTTGCAAATTATTTCTTAAATGCAATTTTTCACCTTTTTTGGGTGTATTTTGTATATTTGGTTGAAAGTTAGTTTCTAAAAAGCCAAATAAATCTGCATAAATACAATCTTTTCTAAACATGTGTCGCTATATATTTTCACTATTATAATTTCTTTTTTTTGGTCTTGGGGTCACACTCAATGGTGCTCAAGGTTTATTATTTGCTCTGTGCTCTGGAACAATTCCAGCAATATTTTGGGGTGGAGGAACTAATTATAGCACATGGGGACTGGGGTTCAGCCCCATGCCAGGCAAGTACCTTACCTCCTGTACTATCTTCTATCCCATAAATTAAAATATTCTTAAAAGTCAATTCAGGAACCCGATGACTAGTCTCTCAGAAATAACGAAGTGCCAAATATGCCAAAGCTTTTCAGCACTCAGTGTTTACACAGATCAATTTGTTTGCTTATTTTTAGTTGTATTTTCCGTAAGTATAATGGTAAACCCATTTTGACTGGTTTTATTCAAGAACACATGGGTGTGGCAGCTTTAATCTTACTGGATTCTTAGGCAATAATAAGAGATAATAATATCTTCTTAAAAGAAGTTCACTCTCTAGAAATATCTCTAGAAATGACTGTTGGCAATGCCTTCTCAGAGGTCTTATAACACATAGGAATGAAAAGTTGGTAATGAAAACAAAACTGTTTGTTGCTATGCTACTTCTCTTCAGTTAACGACCTGATTACAGTTTGGTAAAAAGAACCAATGAATTAGATGTTGATTAAGAATAGAGACCCTCCCCCAACTCTGCTGCCATGTTTGATGATATTGAGTTTGCCTGTTCTTTTCCACCAGGGCCAGTAAGAGTAAGCAGTACCAGAGCAAGTGCCACGGTTCTCATCTCTTGAACATTAAAATTCTGCTGGCATTAACGTTTGTGAGCACCTTTACTAGCTATCTGCACAAGATATATTTCACTGCTATAACGGTTATGGTATTATGCGCACCTCATAAATATCCATTGACAGGCTGAAGCATACAACTGCACTTCAGTTTAGACTTTTCAAACACAGATAGCTGATTTATTTATAGCTTCACTTCTAAAAAGAGTTCACCAAAACCATCATGCTTTGTGCAACAGTAAACAGGGATTCAAATTTAAAATTGTATACAATGCACAGATACACAGAAAAGTAGACACAAGACAATTCAAGAAGTCCAAAACATTGTTAAGAAAAGAATGCTGAATTGACCATAGATTTCTTTTTTTTTTTGGACAAATTGGCAGGCTATCGAATGTAACCTGCCCACACAGCCAAGTCTGGCAAACTCCCCATAGTGTACCCAATATGCCAAATACCAGAATGGGTCTCATTCTCCTAACTCTGAAAGAGCCTTGAATATGGCACTTTTTAAAAATCTCAGGGCTAGGACAAAGGAGACGTTCGTTACTGGGGCCTGCTCGAGGCAATCGACGAACAACAGGGTGGTCGTGATCGTGATTCTTGTGTGGAACTTATTTGTCAATAGTAAGTGGAGGCATAAGAGAAGACAAGTTACATATTATCCTCTTTTCTCTCACTATTATACCAAAAATAATACAGATATATATGTATATATACTTATATATCGACCTATGAATCAATAGAAAAAAAGATAAATGTATGTTATTCTCTGATCAAAATAAGCCTGCAAGATTTTGAGCTGAAGTATAACTTCTACATATTCTTTTTGGATAGCATTCTAACCAAAAATGTCGCATTTTATAATAGAGACCACCCTATTTGGATATTCATGAATAATAAGAAGGGAACTTTTAAGATTATCTGATAAATTTGCCTTCAAATATTTTCTCCACTTCATCCTGCTATTACACCGACAAAACTTTAGCAAATCTTCACATTTATTAATATTCATTTTGCAAATATCCATGTCTTAATTTTTCTTGAGGTTGCATATAGTTAGCAGTTACTGAACCTAACCAATATTTCATAATAATATGGGTGAAATTGATATTCGCAAGATGTGTATGTGTGCAAATATGCACAAACATCTGTGTGTGCATACACATATACACAAGGTTTTCCAAAAATCACTGTTAGCAATACCTACTCTTGGACCTCAGAATAAGTCATAACCAAAATTAGATATGTTTGTAAAATAAGAAATGTATTTCAGTGTATCTCATGGTGATTAATTAAAAAATGTAATTATTGGTGGGTTTAAATTCACTGGATAGGTCAAAGAAAGGTAGCACTGTAGCACTGCACTGCCCTCCCGTTGTTCACTGATTTGCTGGAGCGGGCCCCGTAACGTCTCCATTGTGAGACTTGTTGTTACTGTGTTTGGCATATCGAATGCGTCATGGGTAGTTTGCCAGGCTCTGCTGTGCAGGCAAGATACTCTCAGTAGCTTGCTGGACAATCTGACAGAGCAGAGAAATGAAACTCAAGTCGGCTGGGCCAGCAGCATGCAAGGCAAATACCCTATTGCTGTGCTATCGCTCCACCCCCCATAGAAAGGTAATGTGTAAAAATAATTTTATTCTTTTTAATGCTAGAGCTCATTTTACCGTAAATCTTAATCTACTAAAAAATTAAATATTTAAAAATAAACCTTGAGTGAGTGGGAAGGAGTGAAGTGATAGTACAGCAGGTAGGGTGGTTGCCTTGCATGTGGCTGACCTGAGTTCATTAAGATACAGAAAAAACAGGGGATGTAATGGACCAATGGCAGAGAATAGAATGAAGTCATAGCAGTTAAAGAGCAAAAATAATCCCAACAACCCATTATTCACTGGTGAGCTATATAACAGAAAGCTTTGCTGAAAGAAAATCTCCTGTCTGGCTCAAAAAAATTTTTTTTGTAGGAGTACTGCTATTTATTCAGCCACTGATTAGCTGATTAAATTGTGCATGAACTCCACCTTACTTTTTTTTCCCATTTTTTATAATTTTATTTATTGAATCACCGTGAGAGCAGTTACAAAGCTTTTGGGTCTAAGTCTCAGTCATACAATGAAACAACCGTACCGTCACCAGTGCCCGTTCTCCACCACCAAAAATCCCAGTATACCCCCATCCCACACCCTCCCACTGCCTGTGGGGCAGATGATTTCCACATTACTCTCTCTCTACTTTGATCACATTCACTATTT